TAATTTCCTATGTCTGCCAGACACCTTACCACAAACTGGGTGACTTAAAAACAATAGAAGTTTATTGTCTCACATTTCAGGTGGCCAGATTTCTTAAAACAAGGGGTGCCAGCAATTTGGTTCCTTCCAAAAACTTGTGAAACTGAGAAACTGTTATTATCTTTCCTCTACTTTCTGATGGTTGCCAACAATTGTTGTTCCTTGGCTTGCAGCTCTAACACTCCAATCTCTGCTTCCCTTTTCCTATAGCCTCCTTTTGTGTGTGTACTTATGTCTTCACATGCTGTTTATATTAGGACATCATTCATTGGATATAGGTTCTACCCTAACCCAGTATTATTACCTCATTTTAACCTCCTAACATTAATTACATAGACTCTATTTACAATCTAAATTCACATTTGATGTTTCATATAGGTACAAGTTGGGGGTGGGGTGTGGAGCACTATTTGACCCAGTATACTATATCCCTTGCTATGATCAGTAAATTATAAGCAACAGAAGCTGTGTACACTGAGTTTAAATTTTAAGAGCTAACACTTTGCTTTTTTACTTTTCTTGACTGTCAATATATTAAAATGTATTCCTCATCAACCTTTAAGGCAGTTCCCATAGAGACATATGCCATAACACATGTCACAAAGGAGAGATTATTATTTTTTAACATACCAAGACTTTCAGGTTTACTTTTCCACAAAATAATTAGGCCTATTGTGACTGGCACAAAAATTAGTACTGGATCAAAGGTGCTTCCTTAACAGACAAATTAAAATATGTTACTCTGACTTTGAAAACAGATATTTGGTGGCTTGGAAATATTTATCAGAGACTACAAGTATGATGATGCATGTCATGTCATGCTCAAATATTTAGCACACATATCATATGTGATGACTTAAAGGAATATATTGTACCGACTCTGCTTTATCTATAAATGAAGATGCAAAAACCAATGTTAGTTGCGTAAGTCTGTTCCTGTTGGGTGCACTTGCCAGGATGATACAGGAGGGATGAACTCAGAAAATAACTGGTTGTTAAGCAAGCAGAATTTAAAGTGAATAGAAAGAATACAGAATTCAGTGTCTCTTGGGATTGGAAGCTTAGCTGGTACACATCTCCACTTGTAATATACAAAACAGACAACACAGTTGAATAAAAAAAGCCAATTAACAATCAGTATCAATATGAAAGTTATCACACCAACTTTTTAAAATTCTTAATGGATATTTATTGTCTAGCAAATTTCCTTCATTGGAAATACTCAGCTTATAGAAAATATGATATTATAGTCTTAAATTATACAATTAAATCCAGGAAAGAGATGTGATTCAAGCAATATTGGTATGTATACTGACATCTGCAACCCAGAGCAATTTAACAAATAAAAAAAATCAATGAATTATTTGAGCAAATTGTAGTGTAGACAAATAGACTATGCACTTAAAATAATAGTTTGAGATTTAAAATAAATGTTGGGTCCCAAGAATTCTATGGACAAGAAATAGGCAGATATAAGAAGCTATAAAGAAGGTCATTTAACATCAGTAAAAATTCAGCTTTCTTATTGGTAAAATTAAATATCCATTATAGATTGATTTAGCTATGAACAAATTTAAAAATAAATCAAATGTCTTTGGTAGTTTTTCAACGACAAATCATATTATCATATTTAGTCATTAATTACCAATAATTAATGACTATTTCCAGTAAGTAATAAATATATTTTATATTACTGTTTTCTCAGAATTGAAGAAGTGGTATGCTAAAAGTGTCAACATTTTGTTAGATATAAAACTTTTGTATTTTGGTATGGCTTTCTACAAGATATAGTATATAAAAAAGGCCCCTTGTGCTCTTCAAAATGCAAATTTTGAGGATCTGTAAAAGGAATTTTTATTTCGCTATTATAATAACTGAAGATTAAAGCAAGATGTTTTCCTTTTACAAGTTTTCTTTTTTCCCCCTTAAATAGGAAGCATTGTTTCTTCAAAAATTGTTCTAATTTTGGCAGCAGGTACACTTAGAATATTCCAAGTAGGACATATAAGTAAATATGCACATGATACAAACTTGAATATGTTGCCTCATGTTGTTAAGACTGACTAAATCAGGCTGTGAAGTCCTCTCTTCTTCACAGCAGTAGACATAGTAAGAAAACAGAAGACAATAGGGGGGAACAAAACACAAGACTTTATATCACATTATGTGCAGAACTAGGTAAGTCTGATCTCAGAACAATGCATAGTTTTGATGCAGTGTTAGCTACTCCAGTAGCAGAAAGCAAGTCAGTAATAAAAGTAGAAAGTAAAAAAAAGAATAAGCAAAGAAATAAAAAAAACTAAATTGTTTGTGGTTTGAAATAAAAATCTGTTCAAGATGAAATTTTGTATGTTCACAAAACAAGTCAACACAAGCTATATGTTTTCTTGTCAAAACAATGATTTCAATTTCATCAATATTAAATGGGTACATTTGTGCACATGACTACACTTCTGTAAAACTAATAACTTTCAAGAGTGCCGTTGATATTACTTTCAGCTAGAATCTGTGGTAAAATTCCTAAGTTAACTGTGAGTAACATACCAACCAATAAAATACTTGGCCATAGACACGGAAGTATATTGGAGAAACATGTTCCAGAGTATAAGTAAGCTTTAAAGTGGATCCAGAAAAATTCAGTAAAAGTGATGTGTTTGCAGAAAAAAAGATAAAATATTTTTAAAACGTAACTACCTCAAAGTATATGCCTAATGTGCTCTGTCTATAAAACTGGATGCATTGGGGCCCTCCCTGGTGGTGCAGCGGGTTAAAGCACAACACTAAGAAGCTTAAGCCACTTCCGCATGGGTTCAATCCCCACCTGCCCCAGAGGAGATCCACATGATGCAGCAGACCTCTCCTGGCCCGCCCGCTGCTCCCCTCAGCAGTGTACTTCATCGATATGCCTGTTCTGCTCCCCACTCTCTCTCTGGTGAATCCTCTCATCCTCCGCATCTCTGGTCTGTACCCCAGTTCTGTATGGATAAATAAAAATAAATCTTAAAAAAAAAAACTGGATGTATTGAATATAAACAATTGAATTGGTTTTGAATATGATGTTAGTTGTAGGTTTGTCATATATGGTTTCTGATTGTGTTTATATATTTTCCATTTACCCCCTTTTTTTGTGGGTGTTCATCAAAAAAAGGATGTTGTATCTTATCAAATACATTCCCTGAATCTGTTGATATAATCATAGAATTTTTATGTTCATCCTGTTAAGGAGATGAATTATATTGATCAGTTTTCAGCAACTGGACCAAATTTATGAATCTGTAATAAATCCCACTTGGTCATAATGTACCATACTTTCAAGACATTGTTGAATTCAGTTTGCTGAGGACTTTTGCATCCATGTTCATCAGGGGTATTGGTCTGTAGTTGTGTGTGTGATAACTTTGTGATAACTTTGTGTGTTTTTAATATCACGATAATGAGAACCTCATACAATATGTTTGGAGACACTACTTCAGTTTTTTGGAAGAGTTTGAGAAGAATAGGTGTTAGCTTGATAAACTAACATCAAGGCTTGGTAAAGCTCACTAGCAAAACCATCTGATCCTGGGCTTTTATCTTTTGTGTTACATTTGATCACTGCTTCAGTTTCCTTGCTATGATTGGCCTGTTCAAGTTTTCTCTTTATTCCTGATTCAATCTCAGAAGTTTGTATAAGTAGTCCAATTCTTGTTGTTGACTCAATTTATTGGCATTTATCTGTCTTTAGTATTATTTTATGATCTTCAGTATTTCTGAGATATATGTTGTTGCTTTTTCTCTTTCACTTCTGATTCTAAGCTTTTCTTCTAAAACCAGATACAAAACAAGAATGTCTATTCTCACCTGTACCCCAGTTCTATATGCATAAATAAATAAATCTTTAAAAAAAAAAGGTGTGTACCTATACTTGTATATCATACATGATGTTGTAAACCAATATTACCTAGATAAAATAATAATACAATTTTTTTTAAAAAGCCTCTGTTTAGATTAAGCCCCCCTTAAAAATGAGGAGTGTAGATTGTGTACCTTTTTTTTTTTTTAAATTTATTTATTTATTCGTACAGAACTGGGGTACAGGCCAGAGATGCGGACAGTGAGAGGATTCACCAGAGACAGAGTTGGGTACAGAACAGGCAGATCGACGAAGTACACTGCTGAGGGGAGCAGTGGACGGGTCAGGGGAGGTCTGCCGCACCATGTGGATCGCCTCCGGAGCCGGCGGGGATCGAACTCATGCAGAAGTGGCTTAAACTTCTTGTGCTGTGCTTTAACCCACTGCGCCAGCAGGAAGGGCCAAGTGTACCATTTTATAGCTGTGTAACCCTCAATAAGTAAAATGGTTCCCACATTTACAATTTTGTATTTATACTTAATTTTAAACATAATTTGTTTTAACCTGTTCTAAGAGAATTTTTCACATATTTCTTTTCTGCTATATTTACTATTCCTATATTTTATGTGATTTACCAATTTTATAAGCATGAAGTATATATTCTTGTTCACATGTCAATAAATACATTGATAGAATTGGAAAATCATTCTATTTGTGATGTCAATAATTCATTTTGGGGCTAACTGTTATAAATGTAGCTACTTGTACTCCCATTTAGACCATAAATGTCTATGTTGTTCACAGTATTAGAGAAAGAAGTCATCAAATACAGTAGTGAATTCCAAATAATACGTTTATTGCATTCCCTACAAATAGATGACTGTTTATACATATTCCCACCCCCTCCAAAACCTGTCTGAAACACAAACCTATCCAACAATCAATTTTGAATTAATGCTGCTTATAAAGAGGAATACATCTGTGACCAAAAAATGAGTAATCATATTTTATACATCTCTAGGAACTGAACAAATCTAGTACTCCTCCCTAGTTATAAGATTTCCTTTTCCTGAGTGGTTCAATAGCAGCAAGCTTCTCCAGCAAGATGTGATCATCAATAATTGTTATATGACTGTTTTTAGAAAAAGTAATTTGCTTACCCAGATGGAACTTTTCTTGATGCTTTAAGCGTGCAAATCGTGATTTGAAATGTTCTTCACAATATGTACACTTAAAAGGTTTATCTTGAGAGTGTAGAATCATATGTTCTTCTAAGTGTGGCCTTCGAGTAAACGATTTCTTACAAATCTAAATGAAAATGCACATGAAATATAAGGGAACATGAATTAAAACACAAAGCTCAAAATGAAAAAGGAAAAAAAAAACGTATTCATGTAAAGATAAATTTCTCTTGAAATTTCTAGAGAAACAGAAAACCTAGCAAAGTATAATCACACTTTAATTGTGCTATAAATCGCTGAATTTCAACCCCTTACATTTCTATTAGTATAATTTCTAAGAGTATGGGGTAATGTAACTACCCCAATTCTTGTCAAGATTTTAAATCCATTAAGTTTATATTTTAAATCACTTACATGTCATGAATAAAAATGTTTCCATTGCTGCCATGTAAGGAAGAGTAAGAAATCATAGAATACCTTAACATTTCTTAAAGTATTCAGTAGAAAGACACAAATTTTTAAAGATATTTGGCAAACATTTGAAAAGGGAGAGGAGGGGCTGATATAAGAGTGACTACGATAACAACATGACATGTATTAAATACCAGGTATGATGCTAAACAATTCATGGATTATTTTACTTAATTTTTCACAATAGTCCGTATGAGGTTGATATATTTATCATTTTTACATATGATGATGATGGACTTAGTAAAGAGAAGAAAACATTTTATGTAACAGTAAAACTAATTCTTAGAAGCTGAAGTCAGTGAGAATTCTGCTGTATATATAAATCAAAGTTTATGAATGAAGAAGCCAAATGACAGTTGGTAGTTCCTTTAAACAATGTTTCCCTAATTATGGAACAGTCCTTTAGGGGCTGGTAGGATGTAGGTATTTATATAATCTTTGTTACTCTTACTATTGAAAAATAGAGACTAATTCTCCTCCCTTTAAATTGGTCCTGGCTACAGCAACTTGTTTGAGCAACAGAGTGTACTAGAAGTGATGCTCTGGGAGTTTTGAAGTAAGGCTACAAAAAGTCTTACAGTTGTTACTCAGGATTCTTGGGACATGTGCACATCCTTGAGGTCTTATTGCCATGCTAAAAGGAAACTCAAGTAGCCCCATGAAGAGAACAAAGTAGAAACAAACAAAGGCTCCCAGCTTACTGTTTTAGATGAGCAGTTAGCATTACTAATGCTAGTAATACCTATGTGAATGAATCCCAAACAAGAACCAGAACAGACCATCCATCAGTTGAAAACAACTGTATTATTTCACAGTTGTTTTGGAACAGAAGAATTAACTAGCAAAGCCTGACCTAAATTTAGATTACTGATCTACAAAGTCATGAGATATTAAGAAAACGGTGGTAGACACTAACTTTTCCAGGGGTTTTGTTACTGTAGTAATGGACAACCAGAAAAATTCCAACACTCTACTTTGCAATGTAACATCAAGGCTTATATATACAACTATGAATATATTATATACTAACTACAATAAAAATTAAAAACCAAGATTTCTATTTCTCAGTTGGTCATCTAAAAATTAACTCATTTAATTTAGAAAAATATTAACATAACCTTATACAAGAGAAACATTTTAACTATACAATAACCTAAGTTCATATTACTTTAAAACCTAACTAATTCACCCATGTAACATTACATTTTATTTTGCTTTTGTATGAATGTAATGATGATTCACTTAATAATTTTTTTGAGTTAGTTAGTTTTATTGACTTTTCGGGAAGTAACACTCATTTACAACACTGCATATGACTTGTAGGTTCATAACTCTTCAACTGTATGCTACATACCACACCCACCATACCATAGTCTTCTATTACAAATCAAAAGATCTTACATCACATTTCCAACTTTCACTCTTGGTCTTCTTAATGGAAATAAATTCTTGAGCATTTTCAGGATGAAATCTAGAAAAAGAAATATTATTAAGGTCATTAATTCAGTATTTCAAATTTGTTGATAGTAATTACAAGAGCCAGGCATGGATTTCTAACTTAGAGAAAGCAAGCCCAGGTGACTACTTCAAAAATATAAGAAAATATCATTATCACTTTAATAAATGTCTAGTTATTCCTAAGTTTATAAAGAAACAATCATAGAGAAAGCTAATCACATTTTAAACACATTCAGGAACTATTCACAGATAATCTTTATGGTAACTCACTTGTTTTTAGTCCAGATTTCAGTTAAGTTTAATTTTTTTTTTAAAAGATTTATTTATTTGTGCATACAGAACTGGGGTACAGGCCAGAGGTGCAGGGGTGGTTAGAAGATTCACCAGAGACAGAACAGGGAGCAGGATAGGCTGACTGATGAAGTACACTGCAGAGGGAGTAGTGGGTGGGTCAGGAGAGGTCTGCTGTGCCATGTGGGTCACCTCCAGGGCAGGTGGGGATAGAACTCATGCAGAAGTGGCTTTAGTTTTGTGCTTTAACCCATTGTGCCACCAGGGAGGGCCAAATTTAATTTTTAAAGCATTAAATATGCTATACCATACTAAAACCTACCTCAAAATTTTTATACATTATAGACACAGTTGAGCATGAAGAATTAAGTTCCCCAGAGTTCTAATATCATGTATTTTGTAAACATACTTGTCAAATTCTAAGACAGAACATAGGATAACCAGAATACTGTGTTTTAAATTTCTATCATTTGTTTCAACATTAAAGTTTCATAATTACATAACTTAAGTATGAGCAAGCTAACAGCTGCTATTCTTTTCTTAATATATAATCTGCAAAAAAAATTGAGCAGAATATTTAAATGAAAGAATTAGAGACAAGCTTTCCAAAGATATTTTTAGCTTACTACAGATTTAAATTAGAAGTCACAACATACTATATTATGGAAGCAAGGTAATACTTGCCTCTTAACATGCTTGGCTAAAGTCTTCTTGCTTGCATGAAGTTTATTACAATAAGGGCACTTGTGCTCCTTCTTATGAAATTCTGTTTCATTACTGTGCTTCTTTTTGTGAACAGTTAGGTTAGACTTTGTCGAATATCGCTGGTGACAAATATCACACTCAAAGGGCTTCTCACCTGTGTGAACACGTGTGTGGCTCTCATATTTTCCTATAAAAAGAAAAAAATAAAATTAAATTCAATACATTTACCACAAAGTGACTGAAATGGCAATGGAATAAAATATAGTGATTAATAACATATTTACTTAGCACAACCACACACCCAACTACAAAAAAGTTTATATCAATGTGTATCCTGATAAATCTCAGACCTACTGCTTTGAGTTTGCTACTTTCCCAGAAAACTTTGCTCATTAAAAAAAAAAAAAAATCAACTGTTGATGTTTACATGAATACATTTTAAAAATAAAAGTTTGCACAACTGAAATAAAAATTTCAAGTGTAATTTTTAAATTTAAAATAGACCTTCAGCAAAAGAGCTACACACTTCAGATTTAATATTTTCATATTTACTTTTACTATTTGTATCAGATTTGACAGTCCATGTAAAAATCTCATTAAAAGGCCAAATACACATGTAAAATAATACTTT